GAAACCCAGTGCTCACGTTAGCCTGGACCTTCCCCCAGCCTCCCTTCACCTGGGAACGAGGGTACGCGGGGCAGGAGCGGTGCTGCGCGAACGGGCACCTCGTGTCATGTATGTGCACGTGCTGATGAACCCCACACACCCCCCCGGGTCCTGGGTCTGCAGAAATGGGCAGCTTGGAAGAGCGATCAAGGGCCGAGGCGCGGGAGGCCGGCCGTGGTGGCCGCGCCGCACGCCGTCTGCTTGCACGGCCCAGCTGGGCCGCACGGCCCTGGCACACGGCCTGTCAGCGTGTTTCTGAAGGATGGGCGTGCTAATCAGCAAGGCTGAGTCAAACCCCTCCTCTCCAAAAGTCATCCTCTGGCCTGCGGGTGAAGTGCTTACAGGTTTCCAGGTGCCCCAGTGGCTGGTATCTGCTTGCAGGTGAAGCAGCGCTTTGCAGTTTGCTCCTACGATGTGAGCCCGCGGGGCTCGAGCAGTTGGGATAAACACTTCCCCTTCCCTTTGGTGGTAGGAATTTAGAAGTGCCAGTAGCTATCAGGTGTCTCTTCAGTTGTCAGGCTCAGGCCAGACTGATCCCTGGTGGTTTTAATTGAAGCTTCATGGAAACGACTCCTGTTGAACCAGTGAGGTGAGGGAGGCAAAAGGCAGCGTAAACAGGAGGACATAAGAGAGAAGTCTTTGTTCTTGTGTCCCCAGTGCAGCCCAGCGTGGTCTGGGAACAGCGTGGTGTCCCCAGCTAGGAAAACAGCACCTCTCTGCCTTTGAACTTCCCTGACCTTCTACGTTATTTCAGTCTCATTCTCTGGAGTTCAAGGTACTGGCTGTGCTTCAGGAATTTGCAAGCATAAACACTCATCAGTGTGGCTGGCACTACGATGAGATGAAAAGGGAGTTGAGAAAGAATAAAACACATCCAAAAGCCAAACAAAAAGTGTACAGCGTTTGTAAACAAAGCATGTAGAGCTTCCCCAATGCTGCCCGGAATGCCCACTTCCTTCCGCCCTCCCTTCCCTCCCGGGCCCAAGGCTCTTTCAAAGCCATACTGGGCTTCTCTCGTAACTTTAATACAGCATGTAAATTAGGGAGGTTTTCCCTTAAAGCAGGGCAACTCATTAGTAGAAAATTCCAAAGTCTGCTGAGTAGCTGCAGATTTTGCTGCAAGTGTAGTTTTTCCACAGCCTGCCTGTAAATCTACTTTTTTGTATCCCTTCCTGTTCCTCCTGCGTGCAGGGAACCATGCCGTGCTGAGCTAGGCTGCAGGCCGGCGGCACATCGCTGCCCACTCGTGCGCTGCGACTGCACTTTTTTATGTTGCATCTGTCCCCGAGTTCTAAAAAAAAAAAAAACTCTTTGGATTTGGTGCTACTGAAGTATGTGCTATGTCATGAAAACTGGCAGTACCGTAGCGAGAAGTCTGACCCAAGGGAAGTCTCCCATCCGAATTCTGCTCCTCTGTTTTCACCTCTGCCTTTGGGATGAGGTTACTGTGCTGAATGTGATATAACCCAATTTCAGGTTTCACGAAGGACTTCCAGGCCTAGACTGGCTCCCAGGTCTGGGGACATGTTGGCGGTGCTGCCATTCTGGCACTGAGCTATCTGGAATGTGTTACCTGGAGAAGCGTCGAAGTGCACAGGTGACCACGTCTGCGTGTTTTGTGCTGGATATTTTATGCAAAGTCAGTCTCACTCATCCTGGAGCAGCTGTACATACGCCCTGTGGACCCTCATTCTTTCCCCTGTATCACCATCCAATCTCTCCTGGTAGCAGGAGCAGAAGAATGGGCTGTTACCGAGCCAGACGTTTCTGGACACATCCCCTCAGCATACGGTGTGCACGAAGTGCTTCTATCCTGCAGTGGGGAGCCCTTGTCAGAGCTGCCTCTGCAGACTCCGTAGCAGAGCAGCACCGGCTGCTCCCTCACTTGCACCAGCCGGTCAGCCCGTGTAGCAAAGGCTCAAGCAGCAATAACCATTTGTTGGGTTGGTTTTATTTTTTTTCTCTTTTGCTTTGCCTCTGCCTGTGAAACATCCGTAAGTAATTAAATCCACATTTCAGCCTGTCTCTTGAGCGGCAAGCAGACACATTTGGAATAACACGTGTGCGACATCCAACCAGCTCCTGTAACAGCTGCTAAAGCCAGGATGTGCCATTCCTGGTGACTCGCACACCTCTCTCCAGCGCCCACGGCGGAGCCCGGGGACTCTCTCGAGGCTGTGGGTGCGCCTGCGGAGCTGCACCTCTCCCCTTCAGCTCCTCCTGGGACTGAGCTCCCGCACCAGCAACTCCGTAGCCTTCAAAGTCTGTGCTGGCCCCACTTTCTGGCTTCTCAAATGTCTGTTCTGCTCAAGTTGACTCAACCAAGCCGTTGGCTGCTTTTGCAGGCAGCTGAGGCACGCTGGTCTGTTCCTCACCCTTCTCCCAGGGCACCGTCCTCTCCTACCACCTCCCTCCGGCGCTAAGCTGCATGCCTCTGCTGGGCCATCAACTACAAACTTGAGTTTGGTCTCATTCATTTTCTGACCTGGCATCTCATCTGGAAAAGCACACCAAGCACAAGTGAGTTCACACTTCGGTGAGCCTATATTTAAATGTCATTTTTACTAAAGCTGGAATCACCTTGGTAGAGATTTACCTGTGTGAAGTCTCCTTGGTTCTCGACACTCCACCTTGAAACTGAGATGATACTGTAGCACCTAAAAAACAGAGCCTTTTTCTTCTGGTTTTGGCTTCTCTGAATCCTTTAAACATTGCTCAGTTTCTTTATCCTTTCTCCTGCCCTGTTAAGGACCGTGTGCCCTCAGGAGCGCTTTATACATATGAAAGCCAGGGCTGGATTAACTGTTGTCATCTGCTTTATTTAACTGGCTGTGCCGCTGCAAAGCAGCTGGGTAGGTCCCATCCTAATGTACTCAAGGAAGCGATGACTCAGGCCCGTGTTCCAAGGCTGTGCGGGAACTGGTGGGCAGGAAAATGGAAAAGGTTGAAGAAGGGCCTGAAATCACGTGAATTGTGCTGGATTTAGACTTGGAAAGCGCGTGATTGATAGTGCTTGTAAACAGGTTTTTGCTGCAACCTGTTTCTAATGTGAGGTGGACCCGATAGGCACAAGCTTGTCACAGGGAAGTCGGAGAAGAGACGACTGCATGTGTAAGAGGAGGCCACTAGATAGAGAAGCATCTCCAGAAATGTCTGGCAGCACCTTGCAAACGAGGGTGGTTGTCTCACCCTCTGAGAAGGTGGGTGCTCCTTCCCGGGCCAGCCACCAGGCCAGGGCTAGAGCTGCGCCCACGGCCAGCTGCTTTGCCTGGGCTGGCAAGTCGTGGCACGGGGAGAGGAAGCCTGTAGCGGAACACGTACGGGGTAGGACACTGTCCTCGCGTGTCACCGCTGGCCTGGCACGCCCAAGTGCCACGGCTGTACGACTGCCTCCAAGCAGCAATTATCTTCCTCACGTTTGGTTCGTCAGAGGCGAGGCAGTGCGGCTCCCCGGCTCGGAGTAGGAGTACAGGCGTAAGCTGGGCACCCAAAGTTCAAATTTGGGATGCTAACCTTTTAAATTCAGCAACTGACCAAAACGTGACCACTTCCTAGATTCACAGGACACGGCAGAAGCCTCGGGAGAAAGGAGTTACATGATACCTCACTGTCTGAGTGACTCGAAGATGCAGTGATGGGGTGACAGCAGCAAGCTGCCACGTTCACCACTTCTGAGAAGAAAATGGGCTCCTTTTTGTGGAAGTCCACTGCAAGGACCTCACTGGGAAGAAAAGGGTGGTGCAGCGAAGCAGCGCATCTGTGCTTGAAATACTTTGTTTTTCAAGAGAAGATGAAACAGCAGCTGAAGGAACACTCCTAGCGCTGACAAGTTATTTTTTGCTGCTTGTCTTTTGCCAGCAATGTGAAAGAGGAGGGTGACCCAAGCAGATGACCCACCTGTGAGGTGGTGATGCAGGTTGCTTAGTGCCCATCTACTGCTGCCGCCTTTGTGCCTTTGCAAATGTCAAAGGTGTAAAGATGGTTTTGTTTGTTCTGGAGATATTTTGGCATAACCCCAGTCTTGTAGTAGTAAGGGAACGTTCCCCTGCAGGTAAGTTGATTCTTTAACCCTTTGATTTTCCAGCTGGGGGTTACAGCCCCCATGGGGAGATGCAGCAGCTGAGGTGAAGCAAGAGCCTCCACAGCACAGGGAAAGCCTAGTTCTCTCTCATCCGTTATCCCTGAAACACACCTGCCTTTAATTAGTGGTAAATTCAGTTGTGTCAATTAGTTTTCACTCAAGTCCCAAGGCAGATAATACTGGTAGGTACAGTGATCTGCTAGTGCTGGGGCAGCTGGTAGCTGCCCATTCCCCCGCACGCAGCACGGGGCGCGCAAGGCAGAAGTTACTGTCTCCCTCAGTGCAGGCAGCAGACGGGCTGCAGCAGCAGCTTCTTCTCCTTCCACGGTTACTTCTGGGAAACAGCGATGCCAAGTTACACTCGGAACAAAAATCCTTCGGCCTGCCAAGGGAGAATTACATTTCTGTGCTTGCCCTATACAGTCAGGAGGGCGGGCTTGTAGCTGTTGTCAGCACCAGCACTCCCGAATCAGCCAGAGCTGGAAGCTGGGAAGAGAAAGTCAGAGTCCCCTTTTCTCAAAGGGAAAGGGTCAGTGGGTGTCTTCCAGAATGAGCAGAGGTATGATGCTCAGCAGTGAGGTAGGTTTTTTTTTTTTTTTAAAAAAAAAAACCAAACCACACCACACACCAAAAAAACACCCCAAAAACAAACAAAAAAACTAAACCAAAACAAAACACAACGAAACCCCACCAAAACAAAGCAACAAGAACAAACCCCAGCACAACAAAAAACCCAAACCACAAACCCATAGGAACTACAGCAGCATTACCAGCAAAGGCTTTGGTTTTTTAAAAAAACAGAAAAAAACAAAACCAACAAATTAAAAAAGAAGTATCAATTTGAACTTTAAGTCAGTAATGAAAAAGACCAACACTGATGTACAGAAGACTAACTTTGTCAGTTTGTTTTATTACTGGGCACAGCACAGTACTACTTCATATACATACAAGCCACAGTAATACAAACAGTCCCTAATCTTTTTTATAATAAAATCCCCACGTGGTATTTGGGAGGAGTCAAATGTCCCAGGGGTCAGCAGCTCTCGAGCTATTTTGCTGCAGTTGCGGTAGCAGCAGTTTTCTTACAAAATACTGCGGGTTTTCATGCTGTTAATACGTGAAGCTGGAGAGTCAGAGCTTGCAGCGGTGCCTTTGCTTAACACGACCGAGGCAGGCTTTGCGGCAGCTTGAAGGCTTGCAGGTATGCTCAGTCGTGGTCCTCTGCAGTCAGATAAAAGCGTCCCAGACAGACACCCTGGTATGGAACTAGAACCCTTGAATGCTTCTACAGAAACCCACGTTATAGTGAAGCATCCCGGGTTTATCCAGTACAGGGCTAGCTGAAACGCTGCTGCATCCAGACAGCTTGCCCGCAGGCAGCACAGACTTCCCACACAGGCAGAACCATTCCTCATGGAGTGAGTTAGCAGCACAAGGTCAGTGGAGCTTGGAGAAAAGCTTCTGTCATTAAAGCAGGCTTAGCTCCTCAGAAAACTGATTTAAAACTAGAAGGCACAAATGCAAGGTTGGATGTGGGCCACATACCACTGTGGCATGTGAGCAGTTTAGATACCCCTCCTAAGGGGAAATACAACACATAATAAATACGACATTTTAGAAAATAAGTGCATTACTGTGATCCTTCACAACACAGGGAGGTAGGATCTACAAGAACCTACTGAGGCCAGTTCACTTAATATTGCACAGAAGTCCTGAAATTTAGTGTCAGGTCATTGTACTGGAGGTGGGACATGGGGGGGGGAGGGGGGGGAGGGGAAAAAAAAGGTCTTATTTGGCAGAAACTGCCCAAGTCCCCACCACCACAGTTTTTGCCAATCTGAGGTAGAATTACATATATACTGCTTAAACCCAGTCAAGTCCTGCTCAACTAGTCTTCAAAGAAAAAAAAAAAAAAAAAAAAAGTGCACAGAATAGATGAGCCTCTTTCTTCTCTAAAGAAAGCCAGTGCTTCGGGTCTGACCCCTGGAAGCAAGTCTTGCAGAGCAAAGTTCCAGCAAAGATCCCTGCTCCCCACCTTGGAAGCAGCAAGGGCTATGGTGGTGCAACAGGTAAGGAGTGTAACAGGTACTCATTGCAAGTCCTATAGCAAGCACGTCTTACTCCACTTCCTCCCTCCCCTACTACTTGCTAATTCTCCCTTTATTCACTCAGTCCAGTATATTTTATCATAGTTAAGATTGTCCCCATTGCTTTCACCCTTATGTCCCTTCTACCAGGACCCTGCAAAAAAATTCTGTTTCAACCCTTAGATTTCTGAGGGTCACTTGCAGTTTCGTCTAAGGGCTCCTCTGTGTAGTATAGGCAAGGAAGGATGGAAACAAGAGCCTCTTCGATGGAGAAGAGATGTTTATCCTCTGCCTGAGGACAAAAGTAGCGCATAAAGTCTGCCAGTCTCAGCAGGTACTCAATGTTGTGACCAGCACAACCACTTGAGACAATGATTTGAGCTGCAATGTCTTCTTCAGACGCTGGGCCAAGGTAAGACGGGTTCTGGGGTGTCGCAATGTAAACAAGAGCCAGGATGGGTTCCTCTGCATCTTTCTCCTGCGGGTGAAACTTCACCAGCTTGGTGTCGTAGCCCCCCAGGACAGCTTCTCGCATGTTGAGATACTGGAGCGACGCTGCGATTTGTTCCCCGCGGACTTCATAGGCGACCCCCCACGTGCACGCCTAAGAGGGGCAGAGCGGGGCGGTTATGGGGTGCTGTAGCTGCAGCTCAGGGGTGTGGGGAAAAGGCCACTAATGCTTCAAAGCAAGCCCACCTTGCTTTGGGGGGGGGGGGGCTCTGTGCAACTGGTAAGAGGGCAGAGGAGGATAACCCCCCCTCCCCACCCCCGTGAGGGCAGCAGATGAGGGTACCCCGCTCCCCCCGGTACTCACCCCCCGGTCCTCCAGCAGCGTCACCACCCGCCCGGGCTGTGGGGGAGAGGGAAGGGGAAAGCCGTTAGAGCCAGGCCCGCGACCCCCCCCCCACACCACCACCACCATACACACGCACCCCCCCCCCCCCCCGAACGGCCGCCCCGCCTTACCGCCCGCTGGCTGCCGCGGTGGAAGGTGTCTCCCTGCCAGAAGCGGCGGCTGTAGCCGCGGATGAAGCCCACCTTGCGCGACGTGAACTCGAAGCCCGGCCTCCACACCAGCGAGCCGTACCCGAAGATCCACACCGGCGGCGCCAGCGCCGGCTCCGCGCCCTCCTCCGCCTCCCCCGGGGCGGCGAGGGATGAAGAGGAGGAGGAGGAGGAGGCGGCGGCGGGGAGCGGGGGCTGCGGGTCTCGCTTCATGGCGGTTGCGGCTGTGGGGCGGGCACGCGCCGGCCGGGGCGCTTTAAAGGGGCCCGAAGCGGGGCGGGGCGGGGCGGCTCGCGGCGGGTGATGCAACGAAGGCGGGATGTTTCGCCGCGCCGCTCGTGGGGCAAAGCGGGTCGCGGGTTGCGTCAGGCGTGGGGGGGGGGGGGGGGGGGGGGGAGATATGCTCCCCCGGCGTGAGGCAGATGGGGGCCGGTGTGGGCGGGTTTTGAGGGATCGGCCTGTTTCGTGTGCGAGGGATCCCGCCCGTTGGGGCGTCAGCGAGGAGATTCCCGCCGGGAGATCCCAGGGGATCCCCCCCCACGCACACCCCACGCACACCCGCCTCAGAGCCTGGAGCGGGCCCCGCCGTACCCAAAAGGGAGAAGCGGAGGGGGGGTGGCATGAGCGGGCCACCTCGCTGCCCGCCCTCCCTTCACCCCAAAACGGGAGCTCGGAAAACCGGGCGGTTAATGTTAAACTGGGTGAAGCTCCTGGCGCCCGCGGGGCTGAGGCGAGGGGCGCACGGGTGAAGCAGAGCGCTAGAAGCCACGCCAACGCGAGGAAGTGTTGCCGGATCCAGGCGGCTGCGGGCGCTTCCCCTGGTGCTAAAGCCAGGCTGGGGGGTGGGCTTGCGATGCGCAACATTTGTCACGCAGGTGGGCCCACGAGCGGTGGCTGTGGGTGAGGCGGGGACCCAGCCGTGAGTCCGCAGGTTGTGGCGGCCGAGGGGGTGGGCTCAGATTACAGGGTTGTTCCTTGTGGTAGCAGGAGGGAGAAGGGGGGCGGGGGAGAAAGAACGAGTCGCAAAACCATTGAGATATTTTTGCAGAAGTATTTCTCGTTGTTGTTCTGGTCCTCTGCATCTAATCACTCCAAATAGTCTATTTACAGTTGTTTGGGTTTTGGTTTTTTTTTTTTTTTTTTTTTTTTTTTTTAGTTTCCCTTCCAACCAGCGTCCACCTCTCCATTCCACTTCACGGGGCGTTGCAGCTGCAAGGCACACGGACGGTGGTGGGTGCTCACTGTACCTTGGCACATTCACCATGGGTGACATCGACAGCCGGCACGGATCTCACATCTGTCCTGCCGTGCCTTGCGCAGCGTGCCCTTCTCTCCGGCCCTGCATGACAGACTCTCTGACTGGTCACCTTGGATGAACCTTTGCAAGGTCAGCCTTAACAGAGCCCAAAGCTCCTTAATCTTCCTCTTCACTTGCGCTTTTCCCAATCACCTTCCCTGTCTTACTCAGGCTCAAAGGTATGGGGTCGGCGCTGCGTCCTCCCAGCCCTTCCCACCGCACACCCGTGCTGTTACAGGTTTGCAGCCACTTGTTCCTTCCCCACCAGTCCCTTTCCAGAGGCAGAATGTGAATCCAGCCCCCCGTTTGTACAGCTGCCGTACTTGGAGGCTTTAGTCACAAAGAAGTGCTCGAGAAAGTGTTCTTCTTAGCAGCTGTCCATGTCAAAGCTCGGCTTGGCAAAACAAGAAATAAATCTCTAGGCTTACATTTGCAGATCCTGGCTCCTAAAATACAAGCAAGACTCCTGCCTTAGCTGTGCAGTTTGTCAATGACAAAATAATGTGGCCTTTCAATCAAATTAAACTAGTTTCATCTGAGAGTTAAACCAGTCCTCTGTGTCCCATTGCAGCAAGTGTATATTTTTCATGTTCTTTAGGTTTTTTTCCCTGCTAAAATCAAGGACATTTGAGAAAAACCCCAATATGTAGTTAATAAAAGCATTAAAACTTCTGGCTGTAGCTGCATCATCCTTATCAAGCATGAGCACAAGCAGTAACAGACAAATCACTGTCCAAAAGATAAGCTGAAGAAGCTCTTGCTAGGTTCTGGTCTCGGTGATATCAGTAAAAAAAAAAAAAAAAAAAATCTAGCCTCTTTCTTCAGATTTTCCCAGGATGTGAATTTTATCCATATGAGAAATGTGCTGGGTTATGCATGTCTTGCAAATGAAGCACTAGATATCTTACCTGCTAGGACAAGCTAAGGAAAATTGGATCAAGAAATTAAAAAATACATGACTGGGAAGTGACTGCATGCTTGCTGACGGGGGAGAAAAATCGCTCCTTTCCATTGCAGAGCTGTCTCAATTGTATGTTTGTCTTTGCTTCACAGCTGGGCCAGACTTGCAGTGGAGAGCCAATGCCTAAAGCAAAAGCCCGAGGGGACCAGCTTCAGATCCCACTACACATCTCTGCTCCCTTAGGTGCTGTTACACCCAGATGAATTAGGTATGAGGTTAGAAACTCCTTTTGAAGTCAAGTCCCTGATTTTCTTGTGTAAAGATGTTGGGATATTGCTCCATCATTAGGAGCACAGCCCCAGGGGAAGACCGTTACCAAAGTTGTAGCATATACAGCAGGAAGTTCAGGAATTTTTTTGGTTTCAAGCTTTCATTAATCCATTTCTTGCTACTGACTGTACCTGCATTATACTTTGGTTAAATAAATCAAAGGGCATGGGGATCACCAGGGGTGAAGGGCTGAGCAGAAGAGGTTTCTTGCAGGTGGTGTAGATGTGGCTGTGCAAGTAAAGCAGGTGGATGCTAAGGAGAGGATGTAGTGTCCGTCAGTGTTGGAGCTTGCGTTGGTAAGGCAAGGAGAACAGCCTGCCAAGCTGAGCCACCGGAATGCTCAAACAGGGGTGAGGGAGGGTGTGGAATGGCAAGGGGGTTAACTGTTAGGGAACATGATGTAGATTCAGGAGTGCAACAAAAGGAGAGGGAGAAAGACATAGGACTTCAACAGTTTAAAAGTGCCTGAGGGAAAAAGGAATGGAAGGTAATGGCCATACTCTGTTAATTGTAATAAAAATTTTTTAAAAAGCTTAACAGTAGTAAGAATTTTTATTTTGGCCTGGAAACCATTAGGAAGGAGAAAAAGATGGTTGTATCTTTATTTGTGACATCCTGAAACTATTTTTTCCAGGTTTCGGGAAAAAGAGGAGCTAGTTTCTCTTTAGCAGTGTATGCTCTGCTTCCCCAGAGTGAGCCTTCCCATGTCAGTGCAGGGTGACTAGCAGTGCCAGAGCTGCCTGTTTTTCAGGATAGTGGTGAATCACCTCAGAGCCAGAGGAACCAACAACAGGGCTGGCATGACACGTAGCAGTGGATTGAAATTGTCATTAGCTTCATCTTGTGTTTCAGGCTCTTATTTGCTTCAGTAAGCTGAGGGCACATGCTGGGTTTTACCGAAAGTTGTTCTATTCAGAAAACACCGACTGGGGACAGGAGGATCACCAGCTCATTTCCAGGTACCACCACATCTTCCTCCAACAGCTTGGCACCGCTTTCCTCTCGCTATAGCGAGCAAGACAGGAGAATCTAAAAAATAAATCTGGCCCCTTTTGCTGAGGCTTCAGTAAAGATTAGATCTACTGCAGTTGGAGGTGAGGTTCAAACAATGCCACAGAAGTTTTAAAGCAATGTAAATCAGTACTATTCCCCTTGATATTCATGATGCCATATCCTTCTATATCACCAAGGGTCTCACTTCTGTTTGTTCAATACCATTCTTATGGCACTTACAAATCTCCTCCAGACGTGAACACTCACCATATCATGCAGTCATCCTTGTTTCAGACATGGAAATACAGAAGCAGCATTGTCAAAGCTTCCATGTTAAAGCTTGGGGATCGGGAATGATGTATGGAACAGTAGGCAGGGGTGTATTTGGATTTGTTTGATACATCCAAAGGGAATGCACTTTCACTGTTAAATGCTTTAATAACTCATGGGGTGAAATATAGTCCCAAGCAGGGAAGAAAAAATGGCAAAGGACGTACCAGTACTTCAGAGCAAACAACTCTAAAATCTAGTGGTTACAGTACTGTAAGGACACCAGACTGAAAATCAAAGGTCTGCATATCTAGGACAACAAGGAAGCTGTGCATGCAAAGCACCTTTCGGATGGAAACCAAACAAGGCAGGGAAACCAGTCTCCACATTTAAGTGGCCTGCATGTCAGTACTAATAATAGAATTAATAGTCTGGGGGGTTCTTCTGCAGGACAGAGGCTGATGCTGATGCTGACCCACGCCGTGTTCAGTCTGTTCACCCCCATGGCTGCTGCAGCTCTGGCTGTTGTCAGCTGTGTTGGTGGTTTATCAATCCCCAGTGGCCTGGTAAGTGACTGAGAAGTCCTCTGAAGAAAACCCAGCATTATTGTTTTGGCTTTTGAGTCTTGTAGACCAAAGTGATCTGCTGCGCTGTGCTTTTTGCCGACTTCCCCTGCAAGCTGGTGGGCAGTTCTGACCCTGCTGACAGGAGCTCCCCTCGGTTGCTCTGGTCACTCTGCCCCTCTGTCACATTCCATGTCGCTGACTGATACTGAGGTCTCCCCCTAGGCACTGGTCTGTAAAAAACGTCTCTATAAAGAATCAGAACTCCAATTTCAGACTGGATTTTAGCTTGGGTAAAGGCAGACATAGTGAGCAGAGACAGTGTGGAGGGTTATAGCTTAGGGAATTTTGTTTTTTCTTACCTTAGGGTAGGAAAGAAACTCAAACGCTTCCTACTGGCACAGCTTGAGGGATGAGCAAATTTGATACTGAACGTAAAAGCTGAGTAGAGAGCTGCTGGAAACCCCTTTTGCCTGAGCCTGTAGCATCCCAAGCCTAGGAGCTCATGTGAGTGCCAGGCTGTGAGCTGTGAACTAGACTGGCTCATCCTCCAGTGCAGTGTAACTCCCCACTCTTCGCTCCCCACGGCCTTACGCTGCTTCCCAGTCGCCACGCTGGCTCCTGGAAGGGCATTTTGGGGAGCTGTGTGGATGTCCATGTTGGCAGCTTTGAAGTGAGACACAGATGGAAGAGGCGTGGGCTCAGGTGGCTTGTGCTGGGAACCGTGGCCTTGACTGTCAGTGTCAGCACCTTATCTGGGCTCATTTGGTGGTGTCATTTAATTTCACTTCACGAGGTAGTTTAGTTTCACTTCTAGTATAAAGAGAAGAAAAACGGATTTATAGCTAAAATTTTAACAAAGCAGCTTTGAGAAAAACCCAAAGGAACTGGTTGGTACAAGCAGGTAGGCTGAAGAGTCCAAAGCCAGAAATGTGGAAGACCCTCAGAAGTTTAAGTCAAAGGTAGAAAGCAATCTGTGATTTGACTCCTAAGTAGGGAAGGAAAAGTGTTTAGGGAAGTAACCAGCTGATTTCAAAAAGGGTTTAAGAAATAATAGGGAGCGCATACAGGATGGAAAAGGAATAATGCAACAGAGAAACCTCTGTTTTGACACTTTGCTATGGAATGATGAAAGAGCTGCAGAAGTTAGGGATAATTTACACATTACAAAGACTTTAAAACTCAGTTAGAAGCATTCTAGTCAAATAAAAAGAGATTTCAAGAAACAAGTGAGATAACAGACAGCAATATGACTGCCAAGACTAAAGACAGCTTAGATGCAAACCAGTGAAAGACAGGAAGGTGATTGTTATGAGGCTTTTTAAAAAAATTACCACATCCGAAGCAAAAGCACAGTTCTAAGAACTCCTGGCGCTCGTGTCAAGGGAGGTGAAAGAACAGACACAAACCAGGAGTTTATTAGCAAGGAATATAAATATATCTAAGTGGGGCAGGTACCACATGACTGGAAAATAGCAAGCAGTGCCTGTATTTGAGACATGAAAAATAAAATGCAATGTAGCAAACTGAAGACCTGTTAGCCTGACCTCAATAACACACAAACCTTTCTATTATGTGCTTTGACAGAAAGAATAACTCAGGATGCAAATATAACTGAAGTACACAATGGGCTTAGCAAAACACTTCAGTGCAGACTAACTTCACAGCTGTCTTCGATAATTGGCTTCTGCAGAGAAAAGAATGTGCAGATGTAGTTTGCCTAGGCTTCAGCGGAGTAATGCATGACAAGTTATTAGGTGAGATGCGGACAGGAACTGTTAAAGGGGAGATGACTGCACTGAATAAGAGAGGAAAACTGGGAGGCATTAACTGGGTACGGTTATTTTGAGACACGCCAGTTTGATTCCGGGCTGCATGAGGGGAACACCTGCCGAATCAACAAGAGTTAATGCTGTTGCACTACACCTGGCTGAAGCCGCAACTGAAAGACTGTTTACAGTTCAAAAAAAAAGATGAAAGCATGGAAAGAACAGGGAAGAGCTGTTCCTCCAGGAGGATGCTGGCCTTGCTTACTCTGGCCGTGTGTAAATGAGGAAATAGGACTGGTTTACGTCATGGGGTTTATCCTGGTGACTGGGGGAAAGAGGAAGAGAAGGGAGCTGTTGCTCAAACTGAATTGGCACAAAAGCACATGAGCATTAACTGGACATGAATGGGGTAGGCTGGAGATTGAAAAAAATATCCTAACCTTCAGAGCAGCAAGTTTTTAAAATTGCATCACCCACTCCTCCAGATGAAGACCCAATAACAGAAAAGTAACTTTATGTAGACTCAACTGCAACAGAGATTATGTGATGTCATTGTATCTATTAACTACAGTGCCTTTCCATCCAATGCTCTTGTCTGAAGAACAGAAAGTTTCTATTTCAGGAGCATCACAGGAAATAGCAGGAGTGTAGATTCAGTCAGTTGGAGCCAAGCTCCAGAATTTCCACAGATTTGTGGTGTCGGAAAAGCTTCATCAGTTTGCAGTGATTGAGGTTTTTTCCTGACTTGCTTGCAGCTGTTGTTGCCCACATCGTCACAGCATCTTCACAACAAGTCTTGCTTCTCTGTGGCCTAGATGTTATGGATTCATTTTCTACTAAACCCAAGACATATAGCTAGAGGATGACCACAGATCCCCAAACAGGCACAGAACTGTGAGTTCTGAAATACCTGACTGATGTGCTAATGGCAAAGCAGGAGCTGCAGAACAAATGCAAACCCTGAAGCACCATCTCATCCCCTGACTGCTGAGAAACCCCAAACAAGGTGACATTCCAGCATCATCAGGAATCTTGATGGTGGAAGGAGGCTGAAATTCATGTTCTGCTTGCCAGCAGAGAAGTGAGCTACAAGATCTGTCACCCGGCTTTAAGAAAGGACCAGAACTAGCCAGCGTGCTTTCTAAAGATAGGAAGCAGCAGCTTCCCAAGAGCACAAGAGACTTCTCCTTGGGAACAAGGCCCAGCTGAAGAGATGTGAGAAAAACCTATAAAGAGAGAGTAAGGGTGAAGTCTAGAATGAGACTAAGCAGCACAAAGAAGAACCAAATCCTCCCTCTCCCAGACAGCTGGCAGAGCCCAGCAAGCAGTGCTGTAAGGAGGGCAGCCCATCCCCCAGCAGCCCTGCTCCTCCTCGCCATGGCCGGAGGGAAGGATTTGCACCTACAGCCGTCACTAATAGTCTTCATCTGAGAGAGTAAAGAAAACCCACCTGCTACACACTCGTCCAAATCCTTATCAAGGCAAAAAGGAGAGCAGCAACAGTGCTGCTGTTTAGACTCTTGATTGCTCCAGGGCAAGAAGATGTGTGTGTTGACTGTCCCGTCAAAGCAATAAATTAACCACTTACCATATGGATCAGTGTGGAGAAAGAGGGATAAGTAGTTATCTTGACAAGAAGTTGCTTCTTCACTGGATCCTTTCTCTTTTACAGTTTCTAATGTGTAAGTATGCTTCACTTATATTTTATTCACATTTCACTCTTTTGAACGTTTGAGTGTTGTTGCGAGCAACTGAGCTAGTTAACAGGATGCTTAATGCAGAGGAAGGCAAAATGTTTTATGCTGTTGTATCAGCAAATGAGATTTGATTGTTTCTGGAATTACTGAAAGTCTGGTTGCTGTGACAAAAAACCCTAAATGGTCCTGAAGTAGTGGCTCATACCAAGCAGGTTATTGTTAGTGACAAATCGTGAAAGGCTTTGCTTCCAATATGGCCACGCTGGGCAGACTTTTGTGCTCTGATGTTATGCCTCTGTCTTGAGGGAATTTGCAGTCCTGGGGAGAGTTCCTATAATAAATGGGTAAAAATATTTGTCTTTATATTTTAGTCTCTCCGGCACCTATGTTGAGAACTGTTTAAGGTTTGAAAAATAGCTGTAGATGTGTTGTGTGTGAGGTACTGTGGTTGGCTTTGTGGTATTAGTAGGACAGATTCTGGCTCAACACTATCTCTGCTCCTTTTGTGATTTCTTAAATAATGCCCACTTAGGTTTTGGCCCTTTGGTTCTCAGCTGTCTCAAAATAAAACTCTGTTTTCTTCTGCCTTTAGTTTGGTAATGTAGGTCTGCAGCTTCCCTTGCTGAATCTTTTTGTGATTAGCCCAGCAGATCTGAAGATCTGTCCTTACTAATTAGAGGCACTCTTCCCAAAGATGAGGAGCGGAACGCGCCAATGATCACTACCTTCCTTAAAGCACAATGCTGTTTATTTAGAACAAAATGTTATGGAAAAAACACTTGATAAGCCAAGAAATGACTCGCACACCTGCTAAGCGTTGCCTGTCTTCCTTGTGGTGCCCTGGCAAATATGATAAGCAAGTTCTGCCAGCTCTTTAATTCAGAGAGAGCATCTGTGTGTCAGATCAGGCTGTCTCTCTGCCCCAGAAGACAAAGCTGAGTGCCAGGATAACAGGCACGGAGGACTTGCGTGCATACGCGCAGGTTCCACAGGAGCACTCCCGTTCAGGCTGGAGCACAAATGCGTAAGGAACGCGTGCTGCCCGGCAGCCTGTCCAGACCATCCTTTCCATGCTGTGGGGCCAGCAGTCAGTTCTTGAGCATCTCTCCAAAGCTGGATATGCTCCTGCCTGCGACCTGGGTGCCAGTCAGGCTGCTCTGCGAAGTCAAGTGTCTGCCACCTTCTTGGAGGTGGGGACAGCAAGAACTTGCATGGCTGGACAGCTGCGAGTACTCAATAGTAACCAGTAGCTGCTGGACTTTCCGTATGGCCAGTAATGGGCACTGTCCTATGCCGAACCACACTCAAGATCAAAACAGAAAAAGCATCTGCCTGGACAGGGGTGGTGGACCTGGTGCATTCCACACTTTGTAACCTTTGTGGCCATTCACTGTAGCAGTATTTGAAAGCTTGGTGTTATCACTTCCACCGTGGGGATATCATGACTCTCAAATACTTAAGAACTATTAAGGATGATGAAAATAAAATGATTTCAACATTAAACCTCTCTCAGTTCAGTTTAGGAGAAGATATGGTTCTTCCGAGCCCTCTGGAATGAGAGGTCAGAAAGTGCAGCTGTAGCCCGTGTGGGAACAGAATTTTTCTAGTGAAATAAAACAGATTCTCTTTTTCAGAGAAGTCACGATTTTTGTGGTATGTTACCAGACTGTCAATGGCTCTGGTCACAGCTTCTCTGAAGTCTGTGTTTGGCTTTAAAAAGAAAAATGGCCATATGTGTGTGTTACTGTCCTCTTTTTCGGGGAGGGAAAGTTTCCTTTCTGTCCCGTATAGAAAAACCTGGGCTGTGTGGCAGAATGGTTGTGCTGTCCTGCACTAAGATGGAAAGGGAAGGCTCATGAGGGCATATTGCACCAAGTCACAGGCTGTGGTGGTAACAGAAGGCAGGTAGGAGGAACACCAGTGGCCAGGCTTCAGGCACTTGACTGCCGGGCCAAGACTGCTGGTATAGTGGCTGCAAAGAGAGAGGCTGATCAACAGGGTGAGTCAGAGCATTAACATAAATTGGGGTGAATTCTCTGTGGCCACACTGCGCAAGGGGGTGTGTTTTGGGGAAGCTGACTCCGGGCACGTACGAAGGCTGGGCACCGCTGAGCTGCTCCACCTCTACCGCTCGTGACTCACGGCGCTGCCAGCTCAAAGGGCTGTGGGCTGCGTGGCTCTACCAGCTGGGCTTGCTGCGGTCGCTGGCCTTTCTGCCCTAGCTTTGTGTCATCTGGACAGGTCTGTACCTGGAGGCACTGACTTCACCTCCCGTCTCCAGGCAGAAAGAAGAAGTCACTACCCAGAGGCGGTGTCCTTTGCTTTTGTTCCCTGGGCATAACAAGGCATGGGGGGGGCAGCATTTTGCATGAAATGGTAGCTGCATTGCCACGCGATGAACGCCCCAGCAAGCAGAGCTCCTGCAGTCCTGAACAGCCAGGCTCTCGACCAGTTACAGCTTCCCTGCTCCCTGTACAAAAGTGAGAAGTCCACTGCCAGCCTTTTGGTCAAATGCACGGTAAGGAAGGGTAACTTGACAGCTTTTCTAGGTGCAGGGAAGGTGTTCCCGCTGCACCCCCTCGACGTGGAAGTTGTGTGTGGGAAGTGTTGACAGTGCAGTTCTGTGGTCCATGCTCCTAATTGGGAGGCAACAGGGAAGTGACTCGCGTGACATTGCATCCCCTTCTGCACAGAGAACATGGTGACTCGAGGGACAGGCGCTGGGCTCACGCTGTAACTGCGAGATTGACAGCAAAATTGTACAGGCTGGCAGTGACCAAGCTCTTGGCTGGTTAAGATCACTAGTGAAGGCATCTGAGCTCTACTTAGGAGTTCCTCAGCTATCAGTGACCTGTGGGCATCAGCAAATAGAGTTCTCTTCCATCAAGAGCTGTCATGCTTTGCCAGTGTTTTAGTTCCTGTGGCTGAAAACAACATCCAGTGTTGACAGAATGAGGTATTTGCCCAAGCAGACACAGCAACATGCTAACAGTAACTCCTCTGTGCATGTAGCTGCAGTGGCAGAGTCTGAACTTTTTCCTGCCCTCACTGACCATGCCCTGATGTTGCTCCTCTCATAGCTGACTCTGACCTATCGATATTCCCTATGAGATTGGTTCTGCTATTGATCCTGACCTGGTACTAACCTTTTCCAGCTCTGCCAGGACATTTCTGCCTTGTAGATTTTAATTCTTATGTTCCTAACCTTGTCTTGTCTCAGACCCTGCTATGTGCTGAGCTTGTTGGAACTGACCTGAGAGCAGAAGCTAAACTTAGCTATGCTGAACTCAGTAGCTTCATCTGTTTATACCAAGGCCAGTTTTCCTTGTTGCTCTTCCCCATCTAATGTCAGCTTTGGTAGTCTGAGGTGCTGTGATACCTTCCCAGTGCCAAATACCCTGCTTAGTTACATCTGTCTGTGCGTGGTGACAGTGACAATGTCACCAGATCAGAATGCAAGTGCAGTTTACCTGCCTTGACTGGAGTAAAGGGTGGTGTGGATGCAGACATCTGGGCCTATTGGGCTCTTGAAAAAAAAAATGGGACTTTTTTGAGGGGAGGTGGAGAAACAGTAGAAGTGAGGTTGATGTGGCTCGTGGTTTTTTTTTTTTTACAAGTGATCTACTTAAATTAATCCAATCTGAATTCCACCTGCATCCCCATACCTCATCTGTAGCACTCCATCCCCCAGAGCCACCCAGCCGGTCATAACAACACAGTGGGAAGTGCAATCTAGTTTGGATGAATCTGGATCCACGTTTTAGCAGCGTACCCTCGCTGTTTAATGGCCAGCGTGAGATCTGGCAGGGAGCTGACTGCGGGGAATCTTCTCCCAAGCCAGACTGAAGCTGCGGGCACTCTGGTTGCACAGATGCTGGAGGCTGATGACTGGTCTGTCAGTGGAATATCGAAGTCATAACCTGAGTGTTTGGTATGTGATGTAATGATTGGACTGGAATGCTGTACACAAGCAGGGGCATCGTCACCGCCTGTTTACTAACTCTGGTGTTACACATAGCCTGAGGTTACCTCAGGCTGAGGAGAGCACAGCCAGATTTTTGTGAGGTGGGAACATTAGACTTGTGCCAGGACAACAGCTGATAATGTCAATTTTTTTTGGTAGGTATCTTCCTCCTCTCATTTCAAGGAAAATCCCTGAAATGTTCCCTTGATGCTATCCTTGGTCTAAGATTTCACTACTCTCAGCTAATACACGTATGGCAAACCCTCAAAGATGCGTGAACTCCACATTGGTACAGATTGCACTGTTGAGGAAAGACTCTTTGTCCTGTTGTATGTGTGTATTGGACAGAAACCAGTTCCTTGAGTCCATCTTTCCTGTAAGAAAAGAAATAAACTCTTACCCCAGAGTCCCTAGACAATTAGAACAAAGTGGTTGTACAGCTGCTTGCATTCCAGCTTCTGATGAATGTGAATTTGCTCTCAGCAGTGCTGGGACGTGCAGAGCCTAATCTTAATTTTGTGGGGTACACATACATGTCATGTTGCAGTACAGTGGAGGCTTTCCAATATCTTTCAGTCTTCTCTGGTAGAAGTCCCATTTTTAGGACATCTGTGCCAGCTAAGATAGGAAGGCTGTTGCCTTTTAGCCCTTTTAGAAGCAAATGATTCTTTAGGATAATCGTCTTCTCTTTTTTGAAATCTCTCTCTAATCTCACAACGTCCAATCCCATAGCGCTTGGCTCCGACCTGCTGAGACCCCGAGCCTCTCGCAGCAGGTAGCTCGTGATGTCAGCTGGGGTCCCTGGGCGCTCTCCAGGGGAGAGGGGCTTAACACGGGGGTGGATGCAGGCTGAGAGGACGGTGGTGTTCTGCTCTCTAGGATCTTGGTTGGCGGAGGCTCATTCCTAAAGCCTGTCACTGCAGGCTAATGCCAAAATCTTTCGCTTTATTCCATATTCCACTGCTTCAGACAGGAATGGGTGGTCACAGTGCTGCCACTCGTGGACTGACCATCTGCGTGT